CCACACACACAAATCACTGAATAATTATATCTTAAAATATATTAGGGTAATGTTGAAGTGTAATGATATTAGCATATAAAATGGAAGGGAATAACCAAAGAAAAAGTTTTGCAAAATGTTTCCATATGTCTGAGAAAAGAATAAAATTACTGGATAATGTTACTCTTTTTGACAAATTTCTAGGAGAAACACTAAGAGAAACGATGTGCCCCATGGTTCCTGGTTGTACTAGGGGCTCCAGAGACCTTATCCCAAAATAAAAAATAAAAGGAGCTGGGGGGGTGGGGGCTGCAACTCAGTGATGAAGTATCCCTGGTGGTTCAATCCCTGGCACAATAAATAAATAAATAAATAAATAAATAAATAAATAAATAAATAAATAAATAAATATAAATAAACAAAAAAACTAAAATTATTAGGAAATAAAAAGGAATAAATGTAATCAATATAAAGTAAGAAGAGAAATACAAGTATTGAATAGGTATGACAAATAATATTTCAGATATTACATTACATGTAAATGGATAAATGCTCCAATTAAAAGGCAAATGTTATCAAACAGAATAAAAAGCAAAATGTACCTATATGCAGACACATATATAGACAAGTCGGAAAAACTGAAAGTAAAAATATAGACAAAGATATACTATGGAAACCACTAACTAAAATTAAACTAGCATAATCTGAGTTCAGACAAAACAGACATTAAGACAAACTATTACTATAATAAACAGGATTATGTTTCATGATGATAGAATATTTGATTCAGCGGGAAGATAGATAATTCTAAATTTGACACACTGATAATATAGCCTTTTTGTTTATAAACATTAACTGAACTACAATGAAAAGTAGAGAAATCAATAATCACAAAAGATTTTAACATATCTCTTCTCAGTTTTAGGTAGAACAAACATGAAAAAAATAAGAATTAGAAGATTTGAACAATATACTTAACAAACATGGTCTAATGGCTATAATAGAATACTTTTTAATCACAAGTAATTTTTAAGTGACTATATTACAAACCAAATTGCAAAAAAAAAAATTCAAAGGAATTATTTTTATATAGCATATGCTCAGATCACAGAGTAGCTGTGCCATAACAGGGGAAGAAAACCCAAAAATTTTCTACATATTTCAAAAATTTAAATATACTTTTAAATAACTCAGAGATCAAGGAAAGTATAATGGAAATGAGAAAATATTTTCAACTAATAATCAAAATTTCTGGGATACATACTACCATGTCCATAGAGAAGATGTACTGCTTTAAATCCATGTATGAGGGTGGGGAATAAAATGTTGGAAATTAAAGAAGTAGGCATTTATCTCAACAAGTTAGGGAAAAGAAGTACAAAACAAACTCATCCAAAATAATAAGAAGGAATGAAATAATAAAATTTTAAAAAGTCAAACATTGATTCCTTCTAAAGATAAGTAGAATTGATAGAGAAAGAGACAAAGGACTTTGCATAATAGGGCTAGACTGCTATCCTTGGAAAGGACTGCCTTGTGGGCCTTGGTGACTGCTGGTAATGTAGATTTCAGGAAGGTTCTCTTCATTTCCAGAACTAATATGGATGGCTCATTCTGCAAAAAAATTTGTTTTGTGCTGAATAAATGCTTTCCTTCTGGGAAGTTGGAATTTTGGTGAGTGCCAAGAAGAGTGCCTATGTGACCAATCCCCAGTAAAACCCCAGTGAATGCTTGCGTTTCTAATGAATTTCCTTGGTAGACCATATTTCACATGTATTGTCACTACTCATTCCTGGGGGAAATAAGCAGGTGAGTAACTCCACTGGGAAAGAAGCTTGTCCTAGGTTTCCTCTGGAATTTATCCCATATGCCTTGTTCCTTTGTGGTTTTGGCTTTATATCCTTTCACTATAATAAGTCATACCCATAAATGCAACTATGTGCTGAGGACTCTGAGTTACAGAAGATGGGGGTGATCTTTGGACTCCCCAATACAGATGGCAAACAGATGATTGATTGATAGATGATAGATACAGAGAGAAGAAACAAATATTTTAAAAATCATCTTTACATTCACAAGGTAAATTTGCATACATAATCATTTTATTTCTTCTTATTGACAAAAGAAATTTATACTTTAGTTTGTTATAAAATAAAAACAAATATAAAAAAGTAATATTTTTCTATGCTATAATTTTGAACAAGAAACAACTCATTTTATAAATTCAGTATATACATTTACTCACCTTTAGTAACTTGATTTCTCGCATAGCAATTTTTTTAACCATTTTGTCATCATCACTTTCTAAGAACTTCTTGATGGCCACAATTCTTCCACTATCTTTATTCCTACATTTCATCACCATTCCATAACTCCCTTCTCCAACCAACCCTAGGTTCTCATATTTTTCCATTTTAATTTAAAACCAGTAGGAATTTTTCTTGCTATGAAAAACAAGACATAGAATTAATAGTTTTGATTATGTTAATTGCCTCCATCCTCCCAGCAATTAGTTCTTTCCTGCTCATTTTCCATATTACAACAGTCATATTACTGTCTTTGGCTATTTGTACTAATACAATTTCTTAGTGTTTTCATATCTAAGTCTGTTTTCAAAAAATTCATACACATTTCCTAATAGACAAAGCAAAGGAATTAAAGTGGTTAACTTTAAATTTAATTTGCTGTCATTTTAATGAAATTCAATATATTTTAATTTAGATCAAAATATTACATAAACATTTTAGAAAAGCACAATTCCTTTTCACTCAAAGGTGAAAAAGGCACAACTAAAAGAAAATTAAGTTTTTTTTAATCAAAGTTGGAAATCTTTATGTACTTTCTACTCAATTGGAAAAAAATTGATCACAAAATAATCACTTACCAAACTAACACTGAATCTTTGATTAATTTTCCTTTACTTTGCTTGTGGGGTGGAGGGTACTGAAGATTTAACCCAGGAGTGCTTTATCATTGAGTTACATCCCCACCCCTATTTATTTATTTATTTGTTGGTTGGTTGGTTGGTTTTGAGGCAGGGTTTCACTGAGTTGCTAAGGCTTGTCTTGAACTTGTGCTCCTCCTTACTCTCCTGAAGCACTGGTATTATAGGTACGTGCCAAAGCACCCAGCTTAAATTGCTATATTGAACTTATAAAATAAGATCAATACCGTCACAGTATATTAGCAGATTTTTTAAAAGAAATTAAATATTAGTATCACAAAATACAGTATTTTTAAAATCCGATTAGTGATTACCCACTGCACAATCATTTGAATTTTATGGTTTGAATTCTTATACAAATCACTTTATGACATTTTCTGAATAAAGTTAACCACAAGAGAATCTTACTTGTTTTATCAATGATTAATGGAGGTGCTACAATCATTTCACTACATGTTTCACACAGAAAAAAAAAAATTATTTTAGGGTTGGGGGTATAGTTCTGTGGTAGAACACAAGCCTAGAATATTTGAGGGTCCAGGTTCAATCTCCAGCAACACACACACACACACACACACACACACACACACATGCACACACAACACACACACACAATTATTACAGTAAAAATAGATTTTTTTCATAAGGTTTGCTTGCTGTGATATATGAAAGCTATTAAATTATTACAACTTCAAAGTTAAATTGAGGTTTTTAAATTTAGTTTTGTCATCTGATTATAAAGTTAAATTTCAGAAGATTAAAAAGTACTGCTCCAAATTCCAATGAAGTTTCAATAGTTTGGAGAGAAAAAGCAGTCTTTCAGTAACTTCATATTCAAGTGATGATTCATAGGTGAATTATTAAAACCTTGATAAAAAAACAGGCATTCATAAGCTTTGAAAGGAAAAAAATGCTTGCCTGTTATATTGTGTATTTAGGGCAATCTAAAATAAATTTTCCCAAATTGTTGTGGTAATGTTTTACTGACTTCTTTACAGATGGCAAAGACAAAACATATATTCTCTTTGCTTTAGAAAACCATGATAATCCAATGTAAATAATAAATTTTCAGCACTTGACATTTAAGTTTGAGGTTAGATTATATACATTGTGTGTATGTGTGTGCACGCATGTGTGTGTGTGTGTGTGTGTGTACGTATGTGTGTGCACGCACTGCTGGGAATAGAACCCAGGGCCTTCAGCTTGCTAAGTGATACTTTACCTCTGAGCTTACAATCCCTAGCTCCCATTATATACATATTTTTAATGTAAACATAAATGGAGAACCAGAAGATTGGCCTTTGAGGGGTAAAAATGAAGACAATCCCAATCAACTCCAACTCAAATGCTGTCATTAATTTTACTACCAATTTTGATAGTAGATTCTACTACAAACTACAGAGTAGGGTCCCAGACACTGACTTTCCATATACTTGACATTTTAACTTCTGTTAACTATTTTTTAATAAAATGTTTGTATTTGAAAAAATTCAATATAATCCAATAGCTCCTCTCCTAAATTTTTTGTCTTTCCATTAAGAAAGTATGTTTTATTAAAGACCAGACTAGGTTTACCACTTCAATGATAAAAATAGCTGGAATCTATGCAGGATCATTTAAAAAACATTTTGTAACTGGCATCAATGTTTTAAAGTGCAAAATAAACAAAATAAAATTTACCTTAAGCATATCTAAGGTGTTCTGAAGCATATCAAAACTAATTTTATCCATGTTGACTACTCCAAGTTTATTTTCCCAACCAACTTCACATGTGGACACACCACTTTGAACAYACCTGCTTTTTCAAGTGACACTGCCTACAAATACCTTAAAAGTATCACGGTCCACAAAACCTTGTTTCCTGAAATAGTTACTCATAAACTCCTTCTTTTCATGCCTTCTATTGTTGAATCTAAGGGTAATAAAACTAAAGAAGCCTGGCAAGTTGGCACTGTTAAGTATTTCTGAACATGCGCCATGTAAGCATATGGTTCTAATACTAATAATTTATATAATGCTAATTTTTTATTTTGTTAAAGACAGAAATCTTTTTTTTTTTTTTTTTTGGTAAAAGAACAAGAAAATAGAAGCTCTTTAAAGTCATATACTTACTGTTTCTTCAAATCCTTTCACATGGAAAGATCCAAAGGTTTTCAACTTGGAAACAAATTTGAGGTGAAATGCATCTCGCTAGCTGGACTAAAAGATGCTGACTAGCAAACTAGCAATTCCAGTGTTATGATTTCTTCTGCGGGCACAGTGACGGGTCCTGGGTGAAGCAGGCTGGGAGGCAGATGGGCCTCAGCCCGCCGCAAGCTCACACTTAGGAGGACCGCTGGCCGCATGCTGTCGTCGTCAAGGCAACGACCTMACTCTGTCGCCAGCCATAGGCACAGTCTCTAGAGAGAGTCTGTGCACGAATCAGAATGCGTCTACTGCAGGCACCAACACCTGTCAAGGCCAAGGCCTGTAGAAAAATTAGCAGTGGTAAGAGGGCACCGCCCCACAGCTCCGAAGGCGCTCAGTCCCTCGAGTCTGTGAAGCAGCCGGGCTCCAACTAGCCCTCAGCGAAGGCGTTGGCCACCGAGCTGCAAGGAGGCGGGTTCTCAGCCTTCCAGGTCCGCCCCGCGAGTGCCCGACCTCCCTTACTCTGATTGGTCCAGCCCTGTCGTTAGGCGCTATGATTGGCTTAGAGCCAATATCCCCGCCCCTTCACCTGGGGCTTGACTCAGGTTCTGTTCGCTGACGCGCAGTTGCCTGCATCTCCGCACACCAACGTTCTGTAATTGGGAGGCGCCTCTTCGCCTGCGGCAGACCTCTGCTCGCAAATGAGCCAAGCSGCCTAGCGAAGGGTAAGGTGGCGGTTAAGTAGGACTGAAAGCATAGAAAGAAGAGTGTTTTTCACAGCTTCTCCGCTTTAAGCAGGAAGCAGGCCCTGGGTGCCCCCACCAGGGGAGGTTCAACCCAATCCCGATTCGGTAGTCCTTTCCGTTCTGGGCGTAAGGATAATCTGGTCAGGTAGAGGTGAAGATCACAGTGAGGAGGCGATTTAGTAGGTTTGAGAGAAGGTAGGCATTTACAGACCTGATTAAGCCTGGGCAGTGAAACACTGGGTTTCAAGAAAGATCAAGGAAGGGAAGAGAGGGCATGAATGAAAAAAAAAAAAAAAAAAAGAGGGAAGGTGCTGGGATGGGTGCTCAGTACCTTTACACAGCAGCCAAATGGGGTGAAGTTGGGGCTTATGATGTTAAAAGGTCTAACGTCTGCAGATCAGAACAACTCGCTACTTGAAAAGACTGGTAGATCAATCAATATCTTGTGTGTTCAAGTCACACATATAAGAAACAGGATTTCCCTAATTTTCAACAAACTTGAAACCCTAAGGTTTTCACTCTCATTCCACGCTTTATAATATTTGGTTTCCCCTGATTTGGGGAAGTGTCCTGGATAGCAGACATTTATAGTCAGTATTAATTCCTTCTTTATACTAAGAAATAAACTAACTTTAGTAAGTTTGATTAGCAAGTATTAATCTTCCTGTGCTTAGTTATCTTGTCCAAGCTGCTTAAAACTTAGTTCCTGACCCTATGTTGGGAATGGACCTGGAACCGAGGTAGGGAAATACCCTTTTTGGTCAACCCAAGATGTTAAGTATTCTTGTAGCAATTACCTCTGTCCTTTGCTGTGAGTTGGAGAGAGCCATGCCCCATTATTACCTCTATAGGCTATAACAGAATCTGATAAACTTCTTTTATGTGAGGGACAGATCCAGGTTTGATTAAGCCTGAAACTCAAGAAGAAGAGTTCAAAAAATTTTTCTTTTGCAACTTCATGAAAAATTTTAACCAAATAAACATTTTAAGGTCCCTGCAAGCAAGAGGCTCTGAAGCTTAAATAACCTGTTTATAGCCCACAGGGAACCAAAAGGATAAACTTTAGATTTGGTGAACAGGTGATGCATGAGAAAACAATTTCAAAAAGAATTAAGTTTGAAAACCAGGAGAGAATTACACTTCCTTGAAAAAGCAATCTACAGGGTTGCTAAAGAGTATGTAGCATTATATAGAAATAGGATTGTGTTATTCTTTTAAAACAGGGAAATATTTGTAGGGAAAGGGAGGGTTTTTTATTGTATATGGACAGCATGCCTTTATTTGTTTTATTTTTATGTGATGCTAAGGATCAAACCCAGGGCTTCACACATGCTAGGCAAGCACTCTGCCACTGAGCTACAGCCCCAGCTCCAAGAGAGACTCTTAAGATGCAGCAAAAAGAATAATTGATGAAAACCCATGGAGAGGTAGGGAGGAGAAAGTTCTGAAGTATGAGGAGGGCTTAGACTTGAAGAGATTTAGGGAAAACAGAAAAGTATAGGATAGACACATTAGCTGGCCTAGATCTCCTCAGTAAAAATTTCATTTTTCCATGAAAAGGTGTACTGGGAGATTGAGGGTCAAGAATTTATTAACAGAAATTCCTCCAAATAGGTAGTTATGACAGGAAGTCATTTTGATATAAAATAGGATAATGTACCTGCTTGAGCTTGTATACCATGAATTTATAGTGACACCAGCTTACACTGTTTCATAGGACTTAGCAACTTGGAGGGACAAGAATAGAGAAAACAGATGGTATATAAGCTACCTCTATTAGAAAACTGGTAGGGCAAGAGATTTTAAAAAGGAATTGAGGAATCAAGGATGCTGGAGAATGTACCATTGAAATACCTTGCCATGGGTTCCAGCTAGATAAGAAGATTAAATTATAACAGCAATTAGCTAACAAACTGAAAATAGAAAGGCAGTGAGAGACTGAAGGTCATCATAGGCATGAAGATTATGTTTAATAAAGGAGCAAAATAGGAATTTATTACAGAGAAAGCAGTTTATGAATTCAGTCTTGTAAATGGTACAAGATGAGGATCAGTTCTAAAGGGTTGGGACTGGGGATAGAACTCTGGCAAAGTATTTGGCTAACATGCACAGGCTCTGGGTTTGATCCTGGAACCAAAAAAAAAAAAAAACCACCAACAACAACAAAATAAAGGATGAAATGTTTGGCCCTTTCTTTGGGTAACAATAAGTTGAGCAGGAACCTAGGTTAAAGTATGAAAAGACATTAACATAAACTACCCAACTATCACTCTAGCAGAAGAGGTTAGGAGGGGCAGTTTAATCACCAAAGGAAGTAAAAATGTTCTAAAAATCCAAATAGAACTTCTGGAGTATGAGATGGACATTGAGAAAAGTGCTTCAGAGATTGCCATGAAAACAAGGTGAAAATAGAACACTGGACGTAAAATCTAGCAATTCCACTTCTGGGTATATACCTAAGAGAAATGAAAATATATAATTTTAAAAATTGTACACAAATATTCATAGTTATATTATTCATTACAACCCCAAAGTAAAAATGACTCAGATTAGCAGAGGAATAAATAAAATCTGATAGGGCTGTGGGTATATGAGCTCAGCTCATTTACATTAACACATGTTTAGCATGTACAAAGCCTAAAATTCAATCCTCAACCCGAATCTTGATATAGTCATTCAATGGAATACTATTCAACTAGTAAAAGAAACATTGATATGTGCTACAACACATATGATATGCTAAATGAAAGAAGCTACACCCCAAATGCCACTTATTATATAATTCCATTTATATAATAAAGTGTCCACCATAGGCAAATCCACAGTAGCAGATTAGTAGTTACCATTGGGTGGGATTAGATGGGAATGGGGAATGACTACTAATGGATGTGGGTGATGAATTTGGGTGATGAAAACTTTCTAAGCATTCATGGTGATGGTTATACAACTTTGTGAAATATACTAAAATCACTGAATTATATATACACTTATAAAAGGTGAACATTATGTAAATTGTAACTCACTAAAAAAATTAAGGGATCTAAGAAATATATACCATCCCTAGAAATACCTTTTTATATATTCTAACTTACAGCAGAGTCACTYTCTTCCTATTAGCAGTTATTTCTATCATATAATTTCACAATAATCATTCCCTACAAATCTTTGCATTCAAAAACAATGTGCTTGGGTCATTTTTTTTTTTTGCCTCACTATTCCCACCTTACCAAAAAAAGCAAAAAAGATTTTGTGATTAGTTTCTATCCTGATTTATTATGAGCTTTGGGTATCACCTTGAGTCATCAAGTGAGATAAAGGGTCATAACATCTTCAGACTATAAGTAAGGTTCTTCATAATCAATACATTATAAAGGATGCAACTATGATATATTCTGCCACTCTATTAAGAAAATGGGGGCTACGGGTGTAGCTGAGTAGGGCATATATTTAGCACGCCCAAGTTTCTGGGTTCAGTCCTCAGCATGAAAGAAAGAAGACTAAGATTGAAGTTTTAAGGTTCTCTGATAGAAAGACACATGCCATAGAAGAGTTAAAACTGTTCCTAACCTAGTAATTTAGTTACCTCAATGGGCTGGGGTTGTGGCTCAGCCTAGCATGTGTGAGACACTAGGTTAAATTCTCAGCATCACATATAAATAAATAAAATAAAGGTCTATTGACAACTAAAAACTATTTTTTAAAAAGTGATTAAGAAAACAACTAGAGTTGAAAACAAAGTATATCACTTATTGTTACAAATTTCAATATAAATATCTCGATCTGTCAGTCACCAACATATCTATAATATGTGAAAATGGGAATCAATTTCTCAAAATTATAATATTATGCATTGTTTGTATTGGTAATATACCTCTTATAATCCTCCCTTAACTTTTAAGTTTCCTCTGGCCTCTAAGCCATTCTGTAGTAAAACTACAGAAAAGATCTGCATTCATTTGTTTCATTTCTTGCCTCCAAGGAAGCTAATAGCTATGTGACTGAATTCGTCACTGGAATATGAGATGTTTACCATTCCCAGTTCTGGTTCATAATAATCTCCCAATTAAAACCCTCTGTGTTCTTTTTCCCTGTTAGCTGGCTTTAATGGAGATAACTCCAATGTGATCTTGAAGCCACCCTGTATTGGAGCCTTCATTTACTTGTGTTCTTAAATGACTAAGTGAGATACAGCCGGGCACATTGGCCTCTTCACCACCATTCTCCTAATACTTTATATATGAGAAGAGAAAAAGTATGCTATCTGAACCCTTTGACAATTTAGGATTTATTTGTAATAGCAGCTCACTATAATTCATTTGCTACATTGACCTCTAAGCAGCATTTAGCACAACTCCTTCTTTCCTTCTTACAAACTCAAGTGAAATTTAAGCTTTCCAATACTTGCCATATTTTGTCTCCCTGTATCCTTTGCACATTTCTCCTATATCATAATCTTGCACTTCTGGGAGTATTTGAGAACTGTTTTCAGCCCCTTACCTTCTGTATACTCTCCTAGGTGATCTTATCTAATTCAAAAGCTGCAAAAGTCTATAATCAAGGCTGCCATTGACAGCACAGAGCTCTCCTAAGAACTCCAGAATTACACATTTAATCATATAACACCACTTCTTGGATATGCAACTGACATATGAAACTTAACATGACTAGAACAAAACTGCTGATTTTCTTTCACAATCCCCTTCTGCTTCTTCCCCATCT